TGTGCAGCCGTCAAATCTGCAGCAACTGTGTGATGCTATCATGTCAATATGGAGCAAAATCTCTGAGGAATATTTTCACCTTGTTGAATCTACGCCATGAACTGTTAAAGCAGTTCTGGAGGCAAAAGGGGGAAACCGGAGCACCTAGAGGAAACCCACGCCAACTTAGGGAGAACATGCAAACTCCACAGAAATGCCAACTGACCCAGCCAAAGCTCAAACCAGTGATTTTCTTGTTGTGAGGTGAACGTGCTACCCACTGCGACACAGCATCGCCTTTTTTAAAACAATCTATTTCCTCACCTTTAATGGTGAGGAAAGTGTAGAGTGTTGACAGGAAATAATGGGCGAGCAGAGAGAGGGGAAGGATCGGCATAGGACAGCGAGGCGGGAATCGAACTCGGGTTGCCGTGAGCACCGGAGTGCATGTGTCGACGCACTAACCACTGCACCACTGGCACCGATGTGTAATGTCAGTAGTTAATGAAGTCTGTGTTTCCAGTAGTGCAGGACAGGTCTTTATGACTCAGATGATGTGCGGCTGCTGTTTGTATCTGATGTTTATTAATAAAGAGTCTAATTCAGGACTCATGAATATTAAACAGATGCAGATCCACTGAACTCAACTCTTGATGCTTTTGGATGAAAAGTTGTGAAAGGACTGAAACCGTGCATCAGTGTGAATGTGTGTGCGGTTGTACGTGAGATGCGTCACTTTGTGTGTGTGTGTGTGTGTGTGTGTGTGTGTACCCGTTAATTTGTGTGTGATCTATGAGTTTGTTTGTGTGCAGTTGTGTGTGTGAGGTCTGAGTTTGTCATTGTGTGTGAATGTGTTTGAAGCGTGTGCGCATTTCTGTGAGATATCTTTGAGTTTGGTGTGTGTGTGTGTGTGTGTGTCTGTAACTGCGTGTGCGCGTTTGTGTGAGATCTACGAGTTTGTGTGAGATCTACGAGTTTGTTCTTGTGTGTGTGTGTGTGTGTGTGTGTGTGAGAGAGAGAGAGTGACTGTGCGTGTACATGTGTGTGTGTGTGTGTGTGTGTGTCTGTGTCTGTGAGAGTGACTGTGCGTGTACATTTGTGTGTGTGTGTGTGTGTGTCTGTGTCTGTGAGAGTGACTGTGTGAGACTGAGTGTGCGTGCATTTGTGTGAGGCATCTTTTGTGTTTGGCGTGTGTGTGTGTGTATGTCTGTGAGAGTGACTGTGTGTGTGTGTCTGTGAGAGTGACTGCGTGTTAACATTTGTGTGTGTGTGTGTGTGTGTGTCTGTGAGAGTGACTGTGCGTGTACATTTGTGTGTGTGTGTGTGTGTGTGTGTGTGTCTGTGTCTGTGAGAGTGACTGTGCGTGTACATTTGTGTGTGTGTGTGTGTGTGTCTGTGTCTGTGAGAGTGACTGTGCGTGTACATTTGTGTGTGTGTGTGTGTCTGTGTCTGTGATAGTGACTGTGCGTGTACATTTGTGTGTGTGTGTCTGTGTCTGTGAGAGTGACTGTGCGTGTACATTTGTGTGTGTGTGTGTGTGTGTGTGTGTCTGTGTCTGTGAGAGTGACTGTGCGTGTACATTTGTGTGTGTGTGTGTGTGTGTGTCTGTGTCTGTGTCTGTGAGAGTGACTGTGCGTGTACATTTGTGTGTGTGTGTGTGTGTGTGTCTGTGAGAGTGACTGTGCGTGTACATTTGTGTGTGTGTGTGTGTGTGTGTCTGTGTCTGTGTCTGTGAGAGTGACTGTGCGTGTACATTTGTGTGTGTGTGTGTGTGTGTGTCTGTGAGAGTGACTGTGCGTGTACATTTGTGTGTGTGTGTGTGTGTGTGTCTGTGTCTGTGAGAGTGACTGTGCGTGTACATTTGTGTGTGTGTGTGTGTGTGTGTCTGTGTCTGTGAGAGTGACTGTGCGTGTACATTTGTGTGTGTGTGTGTGTGTCTGTGTCTGTGAGAGTGACTGTGCGTGTACATTTGTGTGTGTGTGTGTGTGTGTCTGTGTCTGTGTCTGTGTCTGTGAGAGTGACTGTGCGTGTACATTTGTGTGTGTGTGTCTGTGTCTGTGAGAGTGACTGTGCGTGTACATTTGTGTGTGTGTGTCTGTGTCTGTGAGAGTGACTGTGCGTGTACATTTGTGTGTGTGTGTGTCTGTGTCTGTGTCTGTGAGAGTGACTGTGCGTGTACGCGTTTGTGTGAGATCTACGAGTTTGTCCTGTGTGTGTGTGTGTGTGTGTGTGACTGAGTGTGTGCGCATTTATGTGAGGCGTCTTTGAGTTTGTCGTGTGTGTATGTCTGTGAGAGTGACTGTGCGTGTACGCATTTGTGCATGTACAAGTGTGTGTGTGTGTGTAAGCATGTGAGATCTGTGAGTATGTCTGTCTATGTGTGTAACTGTGTGTTATCAGTGTTTGAATGCGAGATCTGAGTTTGTGTGTGTAACTGACCAAGTGTGTGTCCATCTGTGTGTGAGAAATGAGTTTGTGTGTGTGTGTCTCTTTGCATCAATTTGCGTGTGATCTGTGAGTGTGTGTGTGTGGCTGACCGAGTGTGTGTGCATTTATGTGTGAGATCTGAGTTTCTCCCTCTCTCTGTGTACGTGTGTGTGTGTGTGTGTGCGTGTGTGTGTGTGTGTGTGTGTGTGTGTGTGTGTGTGTGTGTGTGTGTGTGTAATCTCACTCTTGGACATTTGGCCTGTGATGAGGCTGACACTGTTACCATGGAAATATGAGTTGCTAAGGAAACTGGATTTTCCCAGAGGACTCAACAGCTGTTTCGATGCAGTAGTCGTGGCAACCAAAGGACACACACACACACACACATACTGAGCTGGGATGGTACAGTGAAGCTGTGCTCTGTCCACATGACAGATGTGAAACACACACACAAACACATACGTCAGATCTGCTGTCACAGCTGTCATTCAGTGTGTGTGTGTGTGTGTGTGTGTGTGTGTGAGACGGCTGCAGTCCCTCCAGCACTGTAACTCATCATATCATGTTAATTAAAGTAAGCTCCGTTACTGAAGCAGACTGGATGTTAATTAGCAGACGTGTCTCTCTCAGGTCCTGTAGGAGAGCAGTTGTGGGATTCTTCACCTTCATTATGTAAAGTCCCACTGTGTGTGTGCGTGCATGCGTGTATGTGTGTGTGTGTGTTGGAATGCACAGTCTTATTCAGTGTGCTGACAGGGCTGGGTGTTGTGGACCTGTATATGTTCTATAGACCAGTGGTTCTCAAAGTGGGGGTCGCAGGACAATGACAGGGGGTCGCTTGGTGGTTCATTCATTTTCTTGTCGGCTTAGTCCCTTTATTAATCGCCACAGCGGAATGAACCGCCAACTTATCCAGCAAGTTTTTACGCAGCGGACAATTTAGCCTACCCAATTCACCTGTACCACATGTCTTTGGACTGTGGGGGAAACCGGAGCACCCGGAGGAAACCCACACGAACGCAGGGAGAACGTGCAAACTCCTCACAGAAACGCTAACTGAGCCGAGGTTCGAACCAGCGACCTTCTTGCTGTGAGGCAACAGCACTACCTACTGCGCCACTGCCTCACCCCACTTGGTGATTTCCAAAAGTCAAATAAATTTTATTGAACTGTAGGAATTGCCTTATTTTATCCAAAATCCACAGAAGATAAAGTTAATAGTTACATTAAAAATCCAACAACATGCAAATGAAAAGCCATCAGCCATCAGCCTTTCAATTAATGTTCATAGGATTGGTGTGTTTAGGTTGGATTAACAACACAGCAATAGCGTCAGCTGCAGCAGATTGATTTTATAGCACCAGGTTAAACTTTCTGACACCTTTACTGGAATCATATACATTAAAAATAAATACAGACCACTAATAACATTGAGGATAATCATGGTGGCGGTCTCCAAAATTAAACCAAGAATAGACTTCTGCTGACAGCATGGTGCCCACCAGTCCCTTTAGGTGAATACTAAATTAAACATGAAAAAAATGTACAAAAGCATGCACATCACTTTAAATGGGAGCTCAGCCGAACTGCAAATAGTGCAGAAATATTTTGTTTAAAAATGCAGCAACACCAAAGCTCCAAAAATGCCAATATAATAAATGCAAAAGGCTGATAAAAGGTGAGGGCATTAACGTGCCGCTTTGTTTACAGATTTAAATGCGTTCGTGAGCTTGCCATCCTCTGCTGTTTGTCGTTGCTATGGCCATCATCAGTTGTTCCTACACGTGCGGCGTTTTTTTCGCTGTGTGGATTAATACTGAATGCGAGTCATGGTTAAGAGTAGAGCAATATGCTGGTGTTTAACTGCACTGCTTTAATGCACTCCTGCATTGAGCTCTCACACACTTTGCACTCTGACTACTGACTACTACTAGATATATCCAGCTGCAGAACGGGTTTCTACCCCACTCGGGTTACTCCCGAGCACTCGCCCCCCTCTCAGCGGCGAGGGCAACTGGACAACGTGTCCCTCCTTCTCCTGGGTTTCAGCACCACTGTAATGAAGTTTACAGCCCTTTGGCTGCCAGGAAGAAGGAGGCGGAGAACCGACGCAGTTTTAAAATATTTATTTATAACAGAAACGGCAGCTCCTCACGGAGACTGCTGTCTAACTGAAAGCAAAAGTAAAACGATATGTCCGGGCCCGGTCCTCTCTCGGCTTCCTCTGCCATCGTTCCTCCTGTCATAGTCCAGAGCTCCTTCCGTGGGATTCGGGGCCGGTGCATGCTACAGGTGTGTTTACTTACGGGATGGCCTCAATCCGTTCCCACGGCTCTCGGCCCCGCCCCCTCGCCACACACACATATGATGGTGTTTTTATAATTTAGACGAGTCATAAACCTACATTCAGCACCTTTAAATGTTTATTATTTGACATTCCAATAGGCACAAAAAATAGGTGGACGGAAACTCAGCTGCTGACAGTCCTTCACTGATTAAACATGATCTGAATAAAGATGATGGAGGAGGATTTCTCAGTCCAGGTGGTTGACTCTGACTCTCTCTCTCTCTCTCTCTCTCTCTCTCTCTCTCAGATGAACGGTATGGACGGAGATGTTGAATATGAGGAGATCACGCTGGAGAGGGTATGACACTTTTTTTTACCTCTAAGCTCAAATGTGTCATATCGCAGCACTTCTGCATGAACGTGTGTGTGTGTGTGTATAGGGGAACTCTGGGCTGGGCTTCAGTATCGCCGGAGGGACTGATAACCCTCATATAGGAGACGATCCCAGTATCTTCATCACTAAGATCATACCAGGAGGAGCTGCGGCACAGGACGGACGACTCAGGTACACAATCACACACACACACACACACACACACACACTCTAATGCAGTGTTTCTCAACTGGTGGGCCGCGACGTTTTCAGTGGGTCGCAGAGTGTGTGGTCAAAAAAACAACAAAAGTTTAATTTTTAACTTATTTTGACTTTTATTTTGAAATGCGTGCACGACAACCCTACCATTTGACATATGAAATTTCATTTAATTATAGCAACAAATAAGTCAAAGCGCAAGTACAAGCTCGAATGAGTAAAGTATGGATTTACATATATTGACGACAAAAAAAAGACATAAAGCTTCAGTGTGTTATAAGTAGTGAGGTGCTCTCACAAGAAAGCACGAAACCTTCTAAATTAAAACGACATTTTTTTTTTAATAATTATATTTATTGGATTTTCACTATAATACAGACATAACAACAATTCTTCAAAAGATACTCACACAACAACAACAAAAATAATGACAACACAGAACAATGTAAAAGGAAAAAAATTAATTAATTAATTAAATAAATGAAAAAAAAATAAATAAAAAAAAAGGCTCAGATTACCTATAAAACAGCACTACCCCACATGAAACAGATCGTAAAAAAGGGATAATAATAACATTGTATGTTTTTCAGAAAACAATAGTTACAATATTCCTTTCAGCATGATAGGGCAAAGACTAGGTTCCAAATAGTCCAAGTATGGAGTCCAAACTTTGAAAAAATGTTCTGTTTTTTTGTGTAACACATGGGTAAGATGTTCCAGAGGAATCAACTCAAAAATTATCTTGTGCCAACCTTTAAGTGATGGAGATTTATCACTAATCCAATTAAGCAAAATATTTTTTTCTGGCAGCAAAAGTCAGTATATTATACAATTTCTTATTAGCCGATGAAAGAATGTGTCCATTAGGTATACCCAAAATCAACGAAACTGGGTCTAAATCCAATGGCATGTTAAAGATCTTTTCCATTTCCCCCAGCACCAAGGACCAGAATCTTTGTAGTTTGTTACATGACCACATACAATGTGTTAAAGTACCTACATCTATTTCACATTTTAAACACATAGGTGAATTAGAAGGATTAAATAGATGTCTGCGGTTAGGGGAGATATGAAGTCTGTGTATTATTTTATATTGTATTTCCTTTGTACGTGTACAAACAGATATTATCTTAGCATTAGACCAAATATCATCCCATGATTCCTCATCAATATTAGTAACCAACTCCTTCTCCCATTTGGTTTTAATTCTCTGTATGTCAGGGGATGGGATTGAGCATACAGATGCATAAAATCGACCGACAGAAATCTTTCCAGATGATAAAAATAATAACCTCTCAATAGAAGATATCTCACAATTTTTGACAAGTGTTGTGCTGTTAGTGATATAGTGTCTCAATTGAAGAAAACGAAAAAAATCATTTTTGACTAACTGGTATTTCTGAGCTAATTCTGTGAACGACATTAGTTGTTTGTCTGAGAACATGTCCCCAAGCCCTACAATCCCGAAATTACACCAGCGTTTAAAACCATCATCTAGAATTCCTGGAGTGAAATCGGGATTATCTAGAATTGGGGTAAAGAAAGAAGTCAATTTAGATCTTCCTTCAAGCCTTAAAACGACATTTAGAAACCAAACATTATTAACTGTTTAGTTCATGGTAACTGACCCTTTCCTTACCCTAACCACTGCTTACAGTATTTGCTGCTTTTACTCTGTAATTTGATGCATTAAATATAGTTTATTTGTAAGTCTTGGTGATTTTCTTATGATTTATCTGTCACCACTTATGTATGTTAACAAATAAATACAAATTAATTATAATTCCTAAAATTGTATTATAGTTCCTAAAAATTTGGGTTGCGGCTTGATGACCATGTAAAAATGTGGGTCCCATGGCCAAACCAGCTGAGAACCCCTGCTCTAATGTACACACATACTAACTTAAATGTACAAATACACACACACACACACACACTCACAAGCACACAAACATACATGCAAATGTAAATAGATTACACGAGCTGGATTCACTGGTCAGATGTGCTAGAAACACACACTGGGGACACCTGCTGGTTACAATGAGTGATGCTGAAAGCAAAGCGTTAGCTAAAGATCAACGTTGTTGTGATTTGTCAGTGTGGACCAGAGCCGGCCCAAAGCATAAGCGAGCTAAGCGGCTGCTTAGGGCCTCATGGCCACCAGGGGGCCCCCAAGAGTGCATGAAATTACTAACTTTCGTTTTTGTTTTAGTTTGTTGGAGAGTTTGGTTATAGATTATGAGTGGGGGAAATATATCAATATGCTCTGGCACCAAGAATCGATATTTATCTAAATGTACAAAAGATCTGAATTAATTAATCTACTCTGACTGCAGCCATTTACCGCTGTGACTGCAGTACACCCAGCTGCCACTAGGTGGCTCTTCCCGTAATGGTGGATCAACAATACATCAGAGACGCACCAGCCTTTTTAACCACTGACAGATGAGCGATTGCAATTGTGAAACTTCATACAGGAATATGGGCTCACACTATTTAATTCCACCAAAATATATTAAGATATCAATAGGACAAGAACACATAATTTGAAGGGTTTTTACTTTATTTAACCCTTGCAGACTTTTGCAAAGTCTTGTAGATGGTATTTTTGCTGAAAATATTAGATAAATTAAAAAGAAAAACTTAAAAATAATGCTCTTTTTAAATAGATGAGTAAATAACTAATGTTCTCTACTGCTGGAGGCCATTATAAGTGCTCAGAGGAGTCTGTGCTCACCTTTCTGATCATTCCAATCAGTTACTGTTCTTGAAGAAAATATATTAATCTAGTGTCAATGCAAAATTTTGTATGATTAAAAATAAACCAGGGCTATGCATAAAATACATCACATAGGTTGGCCAAGTTGTAATAAATGTCTTCAGTTTACAGAAAACTAGAAAGCAATAAATTGCTATTTTAACTGTTTTCTAACATGCACAGTTGAAGTCAGAATTATTAGCCCCCCTGTTTATTTTTTCCCTAATTTCTGTTTAACGGAGAAAAGCTTTTTTAACACATTTCTAAACATAATCGTTTTAATAACTCATCTCTAATAACTGAATTATTTTATTTTTGTCATGATGACAGTAAATAATATTTGACTAGATATTCTTCAAGACACTTCTATACAGCTTAATTTAGAGATGAGCCCTCTATCTCTGCATTTTTCAGCTTGTTGAACAGTTGTGTGCTTTTATACACAGTTGCAATACTATAAACATGTGCTTTTAACGAAAGAAGTGCATCTTATAACTTTTTGAAGCATTTTTTACTCTTTATTTGCAAAAATTTTAATATATCATGGTTGGTTTTCTTGTGATCAAATTTCACAGTTATGTACTGTGAATCATTGACAGTTGGTAAATACTGCAAAAATTCTTTCCTTTTTATTGTTTTTGTCTTGTTTCTAGTTCAAATATGTAAAAAATCTTAAAGAATAAACATTTTCTAGACAGATTTTCTGTGGAAAACGCTTCTTGATTTAATTTGATTTTGATTTAAAGTGATTTTTTTTTAGATATTTTAACTAGAAAATACAAAAAGTATTTGTAAGAAATAAAGCATATTTTATAATGTAAGCAACACAGCTACAGCAAATAAAATTGATAACGCGTGGTTTAAATTTAAAGTGTGCAAATAATCAAGGATTAACGATAATTTATTATATTGTCTGCACCAAGGGGGCCCCAAATAAAATTCTGCTTAGGGCCCCCTAAAGGCTTGGGCCGGCCCTGGTGTGGACACAGTAATAGGTGTTGTTAAATTCACAGTGATCACTCTTGGTGTGTGAATGTGTTTAGTGAAGCAGTGGAAATGATGTCATTGCTCCTAATGGTTAAGAGTGGTCTGGTTTTGGATGTGTTTCAGAGTGAACGACAGCATTCTGTTCGTCAATGACGTGGATGTGCGGGAAGTCACACACAGCTTTGCGGTGGAGGCGCTGAAGGAAGCAGGACCGATCGTCCGGCTGTACGTGCTGCGCCACAAACCATCAGCAGAGAAAATCACTGAGCTCAAGCTCATCAAAGGCCCTAAAGGTGTGTGTGTGTGTGTGTGTGTGTGTGTGTGTGTGTGTGTGTGTGTTTGTGTGAGAGAGAGAGCATGAAAGAGATAGAGATTGTGTGTGTGTATGTGTAATAGAAAGAGAGTGTGCTATGTGTGTGAGTATGCAAATATCTGTATGTATTTAAATGATATTGTATGACTGTGTGTGGTCTGTGATTTGTGTACGTGTGTGCATTTGTGTTTGTGTGTACAAGTGCAAGTGCCTTTATGTGCATGAGTGAGTGTGTGTTCAATTGTGTATATGTGTATAAGGGATTGTGTGTCTTATTGAGTATCGGTGTGAGTCTGTGATTGTGTGTGTGTGTTTTAGTGTCTATGTGTATGTGCTTGTGTTTGTGTGTGCATATGTGATGTGTGTGGGCGGGGCTAATGCATTGGGCTGTTCTGATTGGCTGCTGTGTGTAGGTCTGGGCTTCAGTATTGCGGGTGGTGTGGGGAACCAGCACGTGCCCGGAGACAACAGCATCTACGTTACCAAGATCATCGAGGGCGGAGCTGCACATAAAGACGGACGGCTGCAGATCGGAGACAAGATCCTCGCTGTGAGTCTATAGAAATAGAGTCATTTGTGATCCTTAATCTATTACATTTCCAAAGTGACCTCCCCAACACTGTGTAGATATTATTATTATGATTATCTGAATGTTTTGTGGGCGTCACGGTGGCCTCAAAGCAAGAAGGTCGCTGATTGGAGTCCCGGCAGGGTCAGTTGGCGTTTCAGTGTGGAGTTTGCATGTTCTCCCCGTGTTGGCGTGGGTTTCCGCCTGGTGTACACTAAATTGGCTGTATGAGTGTGTGTGTGAATGAGTGTGTATGGGTGTTTCCCAGTGTTGGGTTGCAGCTGGAAGAGCATTCACTGCGTAATGATATGCTGGATAAGTTGGCGGTTCATTCCACTGTGG